TCAACACACACATAAAACAGCATTTTCATAACGCACAAAGAACAATTAGTTTATGTACAACATTGCTTTCTTTAGCGAGCTATCTGGGAGGCCTTTTTGACGTACACTGTATTTAAAAATTTTAATTTAATCAACTTGGATGTTTAAGTAATATCAACTTAAATTGCATTAAACTGACTTAATTTACTTGACATTTTGCTCATTAAACCTATAAAGCCTACTGTACTCAAAATGATAAGGCTTTTAAACTTGATCAAAACGTTGCTGGAAAAAAACTGTCGTACACAATCTAGTACAAGCCTTCTGTCATCTGATCGATAGTTTATACTTTTTTTGACAATTAAAAGTCTTTTTGATACAATTCTAAAAACCTCCACCTTCATTGTCAGGGTACTCGTCTTTTTGGTGTGAAATCTTCACCGATTTTTATCAAGTAAGAATATACCGTATAGTAGTAATATTTCAAAATAAACACTCACTGGACTGAAACAACTTAGGTGTACTTGACTATCTATTCTGCATGTATATGTTTTTTTTAAGAAAAATCATGTTAAAATGTGAATATCAAAAAAATAAATAAATAAAAAAAAAATACTTCAGGCTTTTGAGGAACGTCCCATCTCTCAATCATCATTGAACTGCATTATATGTTTTGCCCCCACAATAAAAACTATAGAGCTTTGATTAAAAAAATAATCATTTAAATATCATCTAACTAAGACATATTAGTGACAACTGATATTTATATGTGTGTCATGCATGTTAAACTGTAAGATTTTACTGATTTACATTACAAACTAATCAGAATTTTATCTCATTTCCTCAGTTGACTTAACTTAAAAAAAGTGAGGAATCCCTTATTATTATTTTATTATTTAAAATAATAAAATTATTAAGTAAGTAAACGTCATGTGTCATTGAAAGAAAAAAATATACTCATAGTTTAATAAAGTAAAATAAAAAAATATTCCAGGCTGTTTATTTTATATGTTAGGCTTTATGTCAGGCTTATACAGGGTTAAAAGTCTCTTTAAAAAGTTTGAAAAATATGTCTGTGGTCGGTCGGTAGCTAAGCTAATTTTTCACCTCTTCCTCTTATCCTAAATTTTACAGATTCACTGTCGCCCAAGTGTGAGAAATGGCTGAGAATTTTTTTTTTCATGTGTCTGAAGACAATAGTGAGCTCTCTTCAGAAATCCCATCATGACCAAATATTTATGAGAGCTGTAACCAAGTCTAACTTCTGGAAACTAAGTCTTTAAACACTTGGCAGACGTTTCACACCAGACTGTATTACGGGAGAAATTCTTTTGTTCTTATGAGGCTAATAATAGGGCAGTAAATGTAGATATATTTATAGCCGACTCACCACCCTCCCAGACAGGCCTTATATTCACTTGTATTTCCTGTGTTTATTATATGCTACCCACTACACCTCTGTCATTAACTAACTCACAGAATACTCCCAAAACATCTTTTTATCTATTAATCTTGCAGATAAAGCTTTTATTGACGTCTGTGGTGTTGTTGGGTAATGTACTACACATATATGAGCTGGCGTGTGAGTGTGTTTGAGCAACGAACATGCTAGCATAATGCTAGCAGCAATTGTTTACATAGGTTAGTGCTGTATAACAACACTAAACTGTTAGCGTAGCATTGCTAATGCTTGTGAAATTGAAATGGTAGATTTCACTTATTTGGATGTTGATCTGAAGCACCTTTGGAGAAACCCACAACTCACTAAATTCACATTCTAGGAAATATAGCTACATAAATGTGAGGAGAGGCTTTTCACAGCATCAATACTCCATTAATACATCTCTTGCCTTAATTTTCCAGCTTTATTTGAGCTCTCGATAGATGAAGCTTGTTAAAACCACGACGTTATGTGGGATAAACCTCGATCAGCATCACAAAGCTCCGTGGGTAACAATAGCTGTACAAGTGTTCACTAATTAGAGTCAGGAGTGGGTTCAGACTTTCTAGTGCTACCTTTTTGTTTGTTTGTGGTTTTTCCGTTAGCGCTCCAGCATTATGATTTAGCGAGGGCACATGAGAGCTGCGCTAATTACAACTTCACCGCCACACTACGACTGCTAATGTCAAATTCGACAGCTACGCCCTTGTCTCTTTTAACATCTATTGTGCAAAACAATTAGCCAGGGCGAGAAAGTAGTCATAACATCAAGGGGAGGCTACTCCACCGCGGCGAAAGGTGAAGTGCAAATGATACAGACAGCAATTAGCCACACACAAATGCTAATCCACGCTAAAGTGGGAATACAATGCTTGAGCTAAAGAGCGCGAGAATGTATAATAAGCTCTATAGGTAATAGCACAGAGAAGAGCGTAACATCGGCTTTGAAAACTGAATAGTTTAATTTTGATGGGGGGAAAAACTGTGGACACGAAGTTTTATATCTAAATCTAAGAGTTTAAAGAAAATGTAACATCTGATTGATGGTCAATTGGTGGATAATGATTGATTAAAACAAATTTGTTAGTGTTAAAACAGCAACATTTTTATTGTTCTCTGAAATGTACTATGCTGACAGTATTATATTCACATTTTTTTATTTCTTCTTTTTTTAGCCATCAACAATTGCCGTAAAATCCCAAGAGGAGCAAATGAAGACGTCAGTGGCACTAAATCTCTCGATATGAAAACATTTAAAGTTGAGATCCACCCCAAAACTTAAAATGTGAGTATTTTAGGACATTATTTTGACAGTATCGCAACAACGTCAAAATTTACAACATATTTCACATGTAGTCATGGTCAGTCCTCAGTATAAATGCATTCTAGTCCATCTCATGAGCTGTTGAATGTAATGAGAGGAAAACAATAAGGTGCCTGTAGCTGTACGAGCGCAAAATGAATGATTTGAATTGGGTGCTGTCAGATTTCCCAGTGGCATATCAAAACATGTCACGGGCGGGTAAAATACAGCATGCTCACGAGCAAAATCTTTCACAAAGGCAGACATGCACGAGTTTCTAACACCCTCACAGTCTTCTCAATTCCATCAATATTTCTGTCAGGCAGATGTGTATAGAGAAAAAAGGTTAAAACAAGTGAAAATAAAAAATGAATGGCACCAGAGTGGCCTCTTCAGCTGTGTAGTAAATCGTCAATTATAGATCAGTGTGTCAATACATCATTCAAATACTAACACAAATACACTATGTATTTTTCAGGCCATCCCAAAAAAGTCCTCACAAATAGCCTTGAGACATTATTTATGGAAAACTAATTAGCTGTCCGGTCAAAGGGGAGCATTTGTCTCATTCATATTAATACTTCAAGTAGTGCACTGTAGTGTTGAGAAAAATTAAAGCTTTATACCGCAAGTAAGATTAATCAAAAACATGATATTCTCCTAAAACGTGCCCTAGCCAGACGAGATGCGATGAGATTCCAGCGACAAGCAATTTGTTTGTTCACACCTTACACAACGTGACATTATCAATCAAAAATCACAGCCAATCAGAAGAGCGTGTGGGCGGAGTCTCTCTGTAAGCACCACTGCAATGGATAAGTACATAATCAAGTCCGTAAATAGCTAATACAAAATTTTAACATTTATTAAAAATTACATACCGAGTGACAGAAAGACTTTTTCATAGAATACAGATTTTTGTTCACATGGAGTTGATTCTTTGAATATTGAATAATCGTTAAATTTGTTTTAAAGATCTGAATAATCCATTGTCGCTTTTTATGGTTATAAAGGTCATGCAAAATGATATTCAAATGCACATTAGATGCTTTTAACATTAAATAAAGCACACATGTCATACTTTGTATGTTGTTGTCGCAGAAAAAGAAGCCGTTTCTAAAATAGAATCGTTGCATATTGCCATTGCGACTGGTTAGAAGTCGTTGCATATTGCCATTGCAACTGGTTAGACTGGCGACTGGCAAAAACTCTGATCAAGATGGAAAAGATACTCTTTATCGCGTTGCGGCGTCGTGTCCTGGCGTATCTGGTTAGGACATGGTGTAAGTGTACTTGATGAATAAAGGCCTGTTCACAGAAAAAGTGCAAGCTATAATGAAAGCTATATTAGCGTCCACACCAACGCACCTCATCTGCCACTTTAAATGCTCGAGCTCTTTAAAGCAGGAAAGATTCTGATTGGCTGTCAATTTATCAGCTGGAAAGAACGTTATGAAAGTGATTCCAACAATATTGTTCCTCTGTGTCGTTTCTGTTACAGTTCTCATAGAATTAGATAAATTACTAAAACTAGCCATTTCGTTCAGCGGCTCTTTGTGTGAACAGTTAGCCTGGATGCCAGCCGAACTTAGCCCCACCCACAACATTAGAGGATGGGAAGTTCAGTCTGGACTTGATCCGTTAAGGAAGCAAGTATGCCCGAACCAAAGCTGTTCGGACCAAAAATTGTCAGGGCGGGCTTTATGCGATGATGGACAGATGATCAACACTAACGTAATCATCCACGTAACAAAAGAGCGATTGGGTAGAATTCGTTTACGACAAAGAATGGCTGCCGCAGGAAAATTTAGATGTGTAGATTCAGCCATCGCGTCTGTTGACAGATGTTGTCAAGATGTTGACAGTGCATTCATTTTAAAAGAGGATAGAGAACCGCGATCAAGGCATTTGCAGATCGGAAAAATTTGCTGATCGGAAAAAATTGCCGCCCTTCCTATGGGATTTGGTCGAATCCAATTGAGTGCAGAGGCATTTTTTTCCTGGTTCGGTTTAAACACGCCCCATAATCACAGCCCAATGGAGCGGTAACAGAATGTATGACGACATCAGGCTAGTGAACAGTCCTTATATTGTTACTAAACTGCAGTACTATTCATTGAACAACTTCATTCTGGTGTTTTCCCAGATTTGTCCTGAATTTTAGGTCAACAGACATCCATGCTGATTCACAACGCTATGTAAAATGCTTTTAGATCGCTTGAAGTTTACAACCACCAAACTTAACTATCTTTTCAGATGAACAAAAGCATCACTTACCTTCAGTTCCCGGAAGAAGATGCTGCTCCTGGCCCATTCTACGATGGAGAACAGTGTCTGGTCTGCCATCTTGCACATGAGGCCGAAAGTGTTGAGTTTCTCGTGCTTGCTTCGGCTGGCCTGCTCCTGCTGCAGGTATGCTAGGATCTTGGTTTGCACCTGGGGCTCGTCTGGCTCGCACTTGAGCAGCTCCACCACCAGGTGAGGAAAGCTGGGCGGCGATCCGCCCGTGTAGGCTTCTACGTACGGATAGCCCATGAGAGACTCCGGCGAGCTTGTGTAGGGGTCGGGGTACTCTGACTTGATGGTGCGGCTCTGGAAGTGGCCGTATGGCTGGTAGCCCTGCAGTCCTCCAGGGTGCGGCGGCATGGCCATGCTGACCGGCGAGGTGACGAAGGGGCTGCGGTCAAAGTCTGCAGGTGGCAGGCCTGCGCTTGTGGAGCTATGGTGGTGGTGATGGTGGTGGTGGTGGTGATGGTGGCTCAGTGGAAGCCCCTTGGAGGCCGAATGGATGTTCTGAATGGCAGAGGTAATGGTGAGGTCCGCTGGGACGGTTTGCATGGCTTGCGTCATGGCCTCCAGCTTGAGTCCATTGGCCCGGATCAAGGCTTTCTTCTGTTGCTTGAGTGCCCGGTCTCGTTTGTACATGGGGCCAAACTTGTTGCGACCTCCTCTCATTCGATCAGCCCTCACAGCTTATAAAAGGAAAAAACAACATGAGATGGGTATTAATTCATCGGAAAATCACAGAATCGTCATTTTTAGAATTCTAAAGAATTCTAAAAATCCACTAGCGCCGACAAATAGAATTGCAGAAGTAATGACGTCATTCAGAAACCGCGTTCAATTCCTATATTCCAGCTAAATTTGAGTTGAGGTTGTAAACAGGATAGCATTGAAATTTAAACGTCAACAAGCTAAATCATTTGTAATTGAAAATCATGTAAATAACTATTAAAGGGTTAGTTCACCCAAAAATGAAAATTCTGTCAGTATTTACACACCCTCATGTTGTTCCAACCCCGTAAGACCTTCATTCATCTTCGGAACACAAATTAAGATATTTAAGATATTAAGATCACTGCTGTATACTAGTCCATAGGCTTCTTGTGACTACAGTGGCTCAATCTTTAGTTTATCAAACGACGAGAACACTTTTTGTGCGCAAAAACAACAAAAATAGCGACTTTATTTCAACTATTCGTTTATTTCTCCCTCTGCGCGAGTCAGGTTACTAGTTTAATAGCGTAAGCTTCTGTTATTGTACGTCACACGCATCACACACATGACCAGCGTCGGCCAATAGTGAGCCTACGTGTGACTACAGGCCCATAGAGAAGGAAGTGAATAGTTGAAATAAAGTCGTTATTTTTGTTTGTTTTTGCGCACAAAAAGTATTTTCGTCGTTTGATAAACTTAAGATTGAGCCCCTGTAGTCACTTGGACTATTTTAACGATGTCTTTGATGACTTTTCGATGCCGGCAAGTGTCATTCCCTCAAGAAGCCTATGGACTAGTATGCAGGAGTGATCTTAATATCTTAAATATCTTAATTTGTTTTCTGAAGATGAACGAAGGTCTTACGGGGTTGGAACAACATGAGGGTGAGTAAATACTGACAGAATTTTCATTTTTGGGTGAACTAACCCTTTAACTAAAATTATTATCTAAAAAGCAAAGTTGGAATGTCAGCTTGACAAAACCTTGATATAACAATAGAACAATAGATACAACGATAGATAGGCCTAGATAGATTACAAATAGAAATATACTTTAACATCAAAAACGTTATACACTCCACCTTCAAACAATTTAAATAGAGAAGTTCTGAAGTTTTGTACACAGTTGAATTGATCTATACCACGGCAGAGAAGCCATTTAACTGGCCACATGCTTTCAGGGCAGTTGCTTATTTGCAACAAGCAATCGGTGAATTTGAATTGTGAATTGACCCGTTTTTTCAAAGCCAGACCTAGAGCGAACTCAGCATAATCGAGCCAGAGGACACAATTTAGAGAGAAACGGTGCTAATGATTCAATAGAAACGAGACAAAGTCAAGCGGACGAGATTATCATCATAGCAAATAAATGAAGAGAGCGCCTTTTGCCCGGAAGTGACTCTGATCCCCGCCACAGGGCAGTAGACTCCACTTTCGTCTGCTGGGTCCCATGTTAATTATTTATGCTTAATTATTCCTCTTTTAAGCTCCACGTTGTAGGCAGGTGGATGGCTGGAGGATCCAGCAGGGTGTTAAACACACAGCATATGTGGAGAGCATGCGTTTGTAGAGGCGTGTGCGACTTGACCAGCGTGAACGCGCTCGTTAGGCCGTAATATCTCACGAACGGTGGATCTTAAAAAAAAAAAAAAAACAATTAAAAGAAAACCCCCCCGTCCAACAGCTGCCTTGGGAGTGATTTTAATGGTCCTTGTCACAGCGGTGAGTGTTTGTGTGTGTGTGGTTGTCACTATGTGTGTGATCTGATTGATCTAGTGAGAGAGGGGAGGCAAAGTGTTGCCAGAGCGATCCCGCTGACAGCTCTAGTAGCATCCGAGAATTATTCCTGGGCAACTTGGTGGGAGATTTGTCTCTTTTTTGGGGTGGGGGTGGTGATTTTTTTGGCCTTAATGTGGTTGTTAAAAATGTATCCAATCGGAAAAACTGTGGTAAGTTTAACTATTAATGATTCCCGAGCAACAGGGTAATTAATGATCTGGAAACTAATAGTTGGCCCTTATGGGAAATCACAATTAGACCTACGACTCAGATCATGAATGCGAGATCCCCCCCCCCCCATGCACATGCACGCTTACACACTCTGTCTGACACCATCCCCCTCTTCCTTTTTGTCTTCTAATAAGATTTTTTTTTTCTCACAGCGTCTAATTAAACAAGGTTATTTACATGCATGTCATACAGATTTTTTGGCATAAGACAAGGGGATTTATGTGTGTTTCTGACTGTATTCATAATAGTACCACACTACTATTGCTGCAGTATATAGTATGTATACTATGCATATTATGCAAATTTTCTATAAACTAATACATTTGCTTTGCATGTGTATTTCTAGTTATATTGAAAATAGCATACTACCATATTACTAATAATGCTGCAGTTTATAGTATGTATACCATGCACACAGTATGCATATTTTCTTTATGAATAGAATGATCTTCTGTGTACTTGTACTTGTACTATTATTGCAGTATATAGTATACATACAATCACCCACTATATTCAAATAGCATACTACCTTACTAGTACAACTCTTACCATTGTTGTAGTATATGTGCAAAAAACGGCCTACTACATTTACACAAAAAGCACACTACACGGAATAACATGCTTTATATCTCACAATGAAATGCGTTCATCTTGACCTTCAATTCCTAAGCTGATTCAGAACTGCATACTACTCTTACTATTTGTGCCACAGAAAGATGTAGTATGAGTAGTATACTAGTATGAGGTTCTGAATTCAGCAACAGTGGGATAAATGAACTTAAAACAATAGCAGCAATAACAAAAAAACAATCTTTTGTTGAATTTAAATGGATTTAAAAAAAAAATCGAGCCAGAGGACACAATTTTGACACAAAATTAAATACAAAAAATTAGATCTAATGCTAAATAAACATTTATTTTCAACATTATACATGATGAGATAGCATACTACTTTTTGGAACAATAATTTATTGTTTATTTATAATTTTTTGTCATGAAAATGAGTATACAGTATAGATTGTTCAGTATTCATAGGCTAGTATTCTATTTCGAAAACAGAAATAGAAATTCTGTTTGTTTAATGTAAACTGTGTGAGTTTGTATATCTATTCAGTGTGTTTGTAGCCTGTATCGTCTGTGTATGTGTACACATGAGTATAAAACACATTTGTGACTTATTCAAATGGCTTGCGGAAAGCAATCGCCTTGGTAATAAAAGCAGTTGCCTGATCTAATTTACTTGAATTGGCAGTCCATAGATGTTGTTTGTTTGTGCGTGTTTTGTGCGTCTGGGCAGATTCGAGCGCTGCTTATTGTCTGATTTATGTGTGTTTAATATACAGGAATATTAAGCGTTGCTTGGGCAAGAATCCCTGTCCTATCACAGGCATATGAATGCCTCCCCTGGCCGGCTCCTGACACACAGTTTGTCATGTCCGCCGGAGCTCTACTCTAAAGGTGCGTCGTTCCATGCGCACACATGAATAGCTATGATACCTATGCATAAGTAATGGGACAGCTTGCTGCCGCCACCAGCAGTGGCTGGAGATGGCAAACGAGTATCAGCCCCAAAAAATGACAAAGTGGGCAATGGAAAGCGTGGAGTAAATATTCACAGTAAAGCCGAGCCAGATTGTCAGATTCATCAAGGTCCTTAATATGGATAACAGACGCTTGATGAAATCTAAACTATTTTACGCTCCACTGTGCACAACATTGGACTCGAGTGGTATGAATAAGCGCACAGGCAAGGCTATGTAGATTTCTTTCCACTTCCTCAACTCCATACTGATTATATGATGGTCAAAAAGGCTGGATTCTCTTTCTTAATCTGAGACTGAGCCACAAATATATAAAGGAAGATAATTACAGGCCTTCCTAAGAAGACATAACACGCTCTCCCGTGCTTTTTTGAGAACTTTAAAACAGCAGCCTTTTCTTATCTGCATTGATAATAGAGCTTCCATGGAGACATGGAAGGCCACTTGTCTGTGTCACACTGATATGAATGTTTTGTTTTGCTACTTGCACAATTATGGAGAGTAGTACACTCAAATCTGTTTGCTGAAAGCTTCAGATAATACATAAAAAAATTTAAGATTTAAACTGTAGCATTTATTTCCGGTACGTCCATCACTACAAAATTCATGGTGTGCAGGATCCCCAACTTTTGGGTAAACTACTTTATTATTCTTAAAAATATCCATCAATTCTTTAAAAAAAAATGGCATTTAGGTGCATGAAAGTCATGAAATGTATTATTGCATTTGGAAGTTTTTTAAAATAATATATATATATATATATATATGTCAAACAATCGCATCCAAAATAAAAGTTTGTGTTTACATAATATGGGTGGACGGACAGTGTATAATTATATACATACAGTATATATATATATATATATATATATATACACACACACATGCTTGTATAGATTTATACATACATTTTTTATGTATAAATAATATTTTTTCTTAAATATATACAAGCATTTGAGTGTATTTATATATATAAAATAATTATACACAGTGCACCCACATATATTATGTAAACACAAACTTTTATTTTGGATGCGATTAATTGCGATTAATCGTTTGACAGCCCTAATATATATATATATATATATATATATATATATACCAATTTATAGCTTACCTATTAGTCGGTGGGTTCAGCTTTCATATATTAAATATATATATAGTTTTTTTTTAATTATGTAATACAGTACACAATCAATTTTGTGATTAAATGATGTCATGACTGCATGTCCATCACTAAAATTCATGGGGAATAATGGCAAATATGATTATTATTTTTATTGTTATTATTGTTCCTAATCTATAGTATTTTTTGAAATGTCAAAAACAACTTTAAATTATTACATTTGAAATAAAATGCAATTAAAATTGCCATCAGTGCGTCACAAAAATGTTGCAATTATCCACGTTTTTATACTAATAAATATAATTCCTTTAGCAGTAGATCTATTTTCAAGCGATGAAACTTACTGCTCCGGTTTGTATTCAAAACAGCATTTTGCTTAACATTTTCCATCTCCGCAGCTTTCCTAAAGAGAACGAGCTATCAGAAGAAGCCTGTGGGGAGTATTAGCGAGCGCTCATCTCTTTGGACGGGCCTGACAGGGCGCTGGAGGGCCTCGTATCCTGTTGGTAGCATGCGGTAGCAAATCAAAGCCAGCTAGCTACGACACTGCTAGAAATTCTGCCCTCCAGCAGTTAAACAATTAACAGTCGTACATCTACATACTAAGAAGAAAGAATCGTGTACTGTAGTTAAGCATTTACAACTCTTAGATGGTAGTTGGTTATGTTCTGTTTCCAAACTGTTTGACATTCTTTCTTCAGGTGGACACAAAAGAAGACGTTTCGCGGAATGTTCGCGCTGCTCTTTTCCACACAATGACAGTGCGGACCAAAGTTGTCCAGCTCCAAAAACTGAATAATGACTTATAATTTAGTCTATTCCCGTACAAAGACTTGGAATATAGTGCAAAATTCATTTAAATTACTGCCTTAAATTTTTAAGTACAAATCAACTTGCCTATTTAAGTCAATTCAACTTGACATTTAACATGAGTTAAATCGTGTATACCTTGAAAATCGCTTAACTTATTTTGATGAGAAAAAAAAAATTGCATTGCCTTATTGGTCATACCATTTTCTTTATGGAAAAGAGCAGTGAGAACATCCTTCCTTTTGTGTTCCAGAGAAGAAAGAACATCCTACGGGTTTGCGTGTGAGTATATAATGCTCTTTAAAGAGCTAAAACTGTGTTCAGTTAGAGGAAGAAATGCATGGATGAACTAAAAAGACTTCTTACCCTCCAGTTTCATGCCGACAGTGAGGCACTTCTGGAAGCGACAGTAGGGGCAGCGTTTCCGTTGGGTCTTGTCTATTTGACAGCTCTGGTTCTCTATACATGTGTAGCGCTTGTTGTTCTGCACCGTGCGCTTGAAGAAGCCCTGCAGAGTGAGGTGAATGAAGATGTCAAACTTCTGACCTCCGGTGTTTGTTAATGTGCTATTCAGCCGCAGACAACCCACACACACGTATGAAAAAAACTCCATTCACACAGAAAAAAAAAGAGGTGTTACACACTGCCACACAAGTAGACACGTATAAAAGTAGAGCCACGGGCAGAGAAATGCTCCCTCAGCAGTCGATGCTCACTTGGATAAACACAAACACACACTCCCACACAAAAACTGACATGTGCACCCACACACACACTTGACATGAACAAACAGAAACACAAGCTGAGGCTGAAACAGATTGAGATGCCGACCATAGAGTCTACAAAATACTTTCGGTGACCCGCTTCATATCCTGGCTAATATAAAGATCCCCTTCACCCGCATTTAGCATTGTGACATACTAATACTACATATTTTACGTCTCAACTTGAGCTCCTCTTGGAGTAATTATGACAAACTAGAGATCTTTCAGTGCGATAGGAAACTTTTTACGTTTGACTATGTTCTTAAAGCATATATTTTAATTTGAACATCCAATCAGGGGCTTGCAAACATCGAAATGTCTACCAAATAAATTCCTGTTGATCCTATTACACATACTGCAGAAGCAAAAAAGTGAAACTGAAAAAAAAATCCGATAAATTATATCCATAATTTACAGCCGTAGGATTCCATCTGCAACTGTTCTGAATTCATTTTCAGGGCAGGAGAGAATCAAACGAGGAACGGCATTAACTTATTCTTGATCAACACCGTAGGGAGACCGGCCCATTTAAAACTAAAAGGATCAATACCAGAACTCAAATAACACACACACATATGGCTGTAACAGAAAGTGCTTAACCTTGAGTGTAGACTATCAATAAAACAAGTCAAACTTGAACTGAAATATGTAAGTATACATACGTAACATATTAAATATAGCATATTCACATAAACGGAATTTTAAATTAAGTTTAAATTCTTTTAAATGACGATATGATAAATATGGTTTTAAGTGGCAAATCATTTTCTCATGTTGTGCTCCACTCTTAAAAATAAAGGTTCTTTATTGACGTTGATGGTTCAACATTTAACATTCTCTCCCACAAAAGGATCTTCAGGTTCTCTATATTAAAATTATCTTTACACTACTTAAAAAAAACGTTTAGTTAGCCATAAAAAACTAGTTAAAAGGCTCTTCGGAAAACAAAAAAAATGGTTCTTCTATAGCATTGCTGTGAAAATACACTTTTGGAGAAAAATCTATGTGTGTGTGTGTGTGTGTGTGTGTGTGTGTGTCAAAGACTCGGGATTTTGCAAAATGTCCAATGTGTGTCTGAACTACAAAACCTCTGACGGTGTCAGGAAACACATCAGATTTCAGCTGCACTGAACAACAACAAAAAGAAATTCTTTGTTAACTCAATATGCAGCCTGCATAACAACATCCTATATAATGCTAATAAATAACTCTGAAAAGTCCACATTAATTGGGTTTCAATAAAAAAAAAAAAAAACAGGACTTTTACAAACTTGTTATGGACTGGTTATGGACATCAAGTGGCAACCCATTACAATATATATATGCTGTACACATATTTATATAAATATGTCCCTAAAATTAAGGTAATTAGTTAATATTATGGGTTTTAAAGACAATTTTCTACATTTTTCAACATTTTACCAATAGTCAACCGATGAATTTGCTTCAAAATAGCACTTGAGTGGCCTTTGAGGTCAACAACAAAATATATGGAAAGCGTTTTTTTCTCTCGTTTAAAAACAGACAAAGCAATTCATTTTGCTGTTCTAAAAATGGAAAATAATATAGTTTGTTAGATCATCAATGCGTTTTTTTCAGCTTATCAGAACAGGACCCGTTTGTAGGTCACGCTGACCAGTTGAGAAGTTAAAAACAGCTGATGTTACGCACCTTACAGCTCTCACAGGTCAGTAACCCGTAGTGATATCCGGACACCTTGTCTCCACACACTGGACACATTTCGTCTAAGTCTTCGTCGTAAGAGTAGTCCATCATTTTAAAGTGGGGGGCTGAAAATCAAAATCAAAATATGAGTACTGGGTAACAATTCACATCTCAGAATCCATGTTACACATATGTTTTTGTAATTATTTTAAAAAGTGATGTTATAGAAGAACTTTTTAATGTTCAATGTACTTTTCTAGTAGAACCCAAAAACGCACTCTCATCTGAAGAACCTAATAAAAGGTCAAGAACTGTTAAAATATCTAAACAACCATATAGATCAAAAACCCAGAGATATTCCTTTATTTTTTAAGGCGTGTAAAGCACATATTTGTATTTTAAATATTCTAATAGTTCCTTTTTTATTTAGGCTATAATCTCCGATACCTTCAACGTGTAGCCTGCAGTTTTGCAAACAAGTTAAAAAAAAAAAAGTAGAGGAATCACAAATGGTGAGATTTGTAAAATCCTAGCCTCAAGAGTGAATTTTCTGGAAATATATGCAGGTTTGGGTCTCTGGGAAATAGCCGAAGCTTTGAGTCGGGTCTTGGTCGCAGACAGGGCAAAAACTTCGGTTTCGATCTGGTTAATATTCATGATGGCTTGTAAATTGGTGAGGGAGCGCGCGAGAGAGGCTGCTGTCTCGCGCTGGAACGTTTAGCCACGAGGCGAATAAAAGCAAAACAACTTGTAAATACACGAGGATACTGCTACCGAAACAAAACATAGTCTATATGTCTTTTGTCTATCTGAGACTATTCTTCTCTCTATAAAGAATATAAATATGTTCTCATTTCAATTCATCTTCATCAATTAATTAGCATTAACATAGATGGAGTCATGCAGTTTGAGAGTTCTAGCCTAAATAGAGCCATCAGCCTCCACATAGTGTTTTTGACGTTAACCGCAATGTGAAGGGGAATAAAATACAAAGTCGTTTTGAAAAAGAAACTATAGGCTATTGTAAAGCAAAACTTTAAGCTGTAAAACAGAACGGATTCGTTTATTATTACTTATTATTCTAATATGCCCATGAATTCAATATGAAGAGTTCAGATGCAAAAGCCTCTAAGTGCCATTTGAAATTTTCTTCTAGAATGATCATTTTTATCAAGCTTGTATATTTAAGTTCAGTGATTTCACTTAAATGACAATGATAATTACCTATTAATTGTTATTTAAGTGAAATTACTGAACTTAAATATACAAGTTTGATAAAAATCATCATTAAAGAAGAAAATTTCAAATGGCATTTAGAGGCTTTTGCATCTGAACTCTTCATATGTCCAAAAATGTATTTTTGCAGAAGCGCAACAAGTGTTTTTTTGTGTGTGTGTGTGTGTGTGTGTCTGTGTTTTAAACGGCTGACATTTATGTAAAATAAACAATTCCACGAGCATTACGTCTGAAACATTTTCATATCGTCGATAATTCCATATTTTTTATTTAATTTTAAAATGTGACTAAAACATGCCGGTCTGACACGTTTCTTGATTTGTAAACAAATCGTTATTCATAACGGCTTATACGCTGGCTTTGTTTTATGACTTGTGCTCGAGCAAATAGAATAGAACAATATTTAAATTTGAAAATACATTAGGTTATTGTTTTTTATTTATTTATTTTTTTTTTTAAAAAAGCTCTTAAACTACAGAACATTCCACAAATTTCTCATCTGGAATTTTTGAATTTTAATCTCTCTTCTAGCCTTTAAAAAAAAAAAAAAAATCTGGAATATACTAATAATAGAGCATAATCGGTCTGTTTCAGTCACTTATGTTCCCGTGGAGAATACATTTGTTTTGTGAATACGCTAAAACGTAAAAAAAAAAAAAAAAAAAAAAAAAAAAACGTTCTTCTTAACGAGACAATCATTTGTCGCGTGGTTCTTGAGTTCCATGATTCTTTTGAGATAAAAAAAACAAATTTGCATTATGGGTTGGTTATTCAATTGTGTATTGGTTTCAGTAGAGACGGTTTTCTAAATCTATCCTGTCCTAACTGGAACCTTTATTAAAAAGTGCAGCTTGACATAGGCTATCCTATTTTGGACTAGCAGATTTATGTTAGCTCTGCCATAGTCATTATTATGGTTTCGTTTTCCCCTTCTGTTGTAAATACTAAGAGCAAATTCATTGGCAGGTGATGCAGATCATGTTTAGTTTATATGAGTTCACTAAGCTCAAAATAATTCACGCTCTGCTGTTGCACTGCAATTTACTTTGTTTCCTAATCTTTACGCGGTTTAAGTGCGAGTAAATTATAGTAAAAGTAAACGCAAATGTTTAGTTCTAATGCTAAACTTAAGTTATATTTGAGGCATGCAATGCAATGCATGTTCGTAAAATATCTGTCATTGTTGAGGCGTGCGTAATATTATGTGCATGAGTGAAGGAAGGTGCATGGCGGACATTATCTGACATCTATGCCGCTTACCTTGCATGCTTCCAGGCATATGCCCCTGTTCCCCATGCGATCGAGCGAGTCCAAGAGATTCTGACTCGACTTTAGGCAGCATGACAGCTCTGCTGAGCCGATGATGAGCACGCGCCGCTCCGCCTGCGCGCGAGAGGAACACCAGAGATTCTCCAAAAACACCGTCCAAACGTCCGAAACTAATCCTGTGCGGGTGAATATACTAGACGGCTTGAGTTCGACTGCCCCTCTTTTTTTCTGCTAGTTGTTCACAAGCTGTGTAAGTTCATTCGGGTGGTCTTTGCAGTGACTATGATGCTGGTCTTTAAACTGGAGTGGGCGAACTGTCAGGAACTTCGCACGAGCCCCTCCTCCGCGCGCTCTGTGTCGCTCTATCTGTGAAGTTCAAACGGCTCCTCGCTGCTTTGTTACGCCGCTCTGACACCACGTCGGCCAATCAGCGCTGAGATCGTTGCGCTGGCGTCACGCGTTTGTCCAATCAGAATCGAGCCCGACAAACAGCGCATACGCGCTCTGTTCACTTGCGCCGGCAAACACAGACAAACTAAACTAATTGAACATTACGAGACACACACCGCTGATAACTGGAGTACCGAGAGGTATGTGATGATGTGCCAGAGGGGGAAATGTATGTGTGAATTAAAAAAAAAAATTGATGCTGAGGAACGGCAATAGACATGATTTGTTCTAAAATAGCCTATACATTTTAATTTAATCGCGATCTGCTAGGCTATAGGCTCCTTAATGGCATTAACATGCCCTTTAAATCATCTGTAGCGTTTTAAAGTTGAATTTATAGAAAAAGGAAGAACATGAAATACTAGTAAATGTCTTGTGTATGAAATTGTACAATGAAAATAGTTTTGTCGTTTGTTTTATTTTGATAGGCTATAACCATTTAGTCATTTTATGATTCATTTAAATTGTATTTTAATGTAGACCTAAAATATTTTGACGAATAATGTGGGGTAATGATGAAAGAAACGCTTCTTTAAAATGTGAGTTCTGCGCGTGATGTTATTGTGGCAATAGACCAATATAATGCAGCTAATAAAATCATAATAAAAATCCTTTTGACAAAATGATGACAACGTGCATAACGAAAATAGTTGGCACATACGCAGTGTTTACATACATAAGCCAAACACAAACTCACACACATTCTTACACCCGTTAAAAACAAGATTTCAGTTTCCTTCCCTTTCGATCTCACACACCTTAAATTTCAAACATTTCACCGTTCATGAAAGTTTAAATATTTTCATTTAAACAGTCACATTATGTCATATTAAATAGGCTATTATTCTATATTAACACAAAATTATACTTCAAAATTATTATTATTAATGCTTTTCCGCATGTCAGCCTTTTCATTAATACAAATGCCGTTTATGTTATTGTATGCGAATGCGACAAGCTACAACCTGGTTTAATAAAATAAAATAAAATCTTAATACCACCGAATGATGATTAAACATCATAAAGACGTTCAGAAGATAGAGAAAATGTTCACATCTGGCCAGTGCAAATCTTTAATTTAAACTCACACACATATAGACTGCCCATGAATAATGTCATTCATCATAGTAAATATGCTACTTACCTAAGGAGTCCCGTTGTCCTAATTCACTCTCCAAACTCGTGGACATAGGACAGAGACAGCAGGTGATCCACCTGAGCGTCTATATCCCACAGAACATCTCCATTCTTCCAAACTTTTTACGCTTCATCGATAAGCTTCATCCCGATGCCGTGAGGTGTTTTTGACATCTCTCCCTTTGCTTTCACACACGCCACTCACCCCTCACCCCCCCTCACTGTGACCTGCACTAAACCTGCATATCTCACCTACTCAACAATATTCAAAACTTCTGAGGTTGATAGGTTTGCCCAGATCACGTGGAGTTAGACGAGATTGATAAGAGCCAGTTATAAAGTGACACACGGATAGATAAGCCCGAGCGCACAGATAGTAGTGAAGGAATGATTAACCGGAGGTGAAGAGAGTTAGAACTGCCGTCCGAGGCAATGACTGAATGGAAATAAGACAGGTGGTAAAACGCGAGATCAAAAGAACACAGCAGGTTTTGATACAGGGCCGCAAACTTTGAACTGCGTAGCCCGCATGAGCATGTTGTGTATGGATCAGGCCGGACACGCGTGTTCAGCGGGCTAAGACTTTTAGATTTACCTGGAGATGTTCCAGGATGTAGCCAGAGACAGGCCCGTCCCCTCCTCCTCTGATGCAAACAAATGGAAATGCAAACAAACTTCCAATGTGTATTATGTTCCATATGTGATTTTACAGAGGCCTAAATGCACTTATTTATTGAAATGTATATATTTTATTATTTATAGTTATATTATACTACATTCTATTATTTATTTAAGTATTATTTAGACTGTGTATAAAGATATCTATCTATCTATCTATCTATCTATCTATCTATCTATCTATCTATCTATCTATCTATCTATCTATCTATCTATCTATCTATCTATCTATCTATCTATCTATCTATCTATCTATCTATCTATCTATCTATCTATCTATCTATCTATCTGTCTGTCTGTCTGTCTGTCTGTCTGTCTGTCTGTCTGTCTGTCCATTTGTCCTTCTATCTATCTATCTATCTATCTATCTATCTATCTATCTATCTATCTATCTATCTATCTATCTATCTATCTATCTATCTATCTATCTATCTATCTATCTATCTGTCTGTCTGTCTGTCTGTCTGTCTGTCTGTCTGTCTGTCTGTATCTATCTGTCTATCTGTCTGTCTGTCCATTTGCCTATCTATCTATCTATCTATCTATCTATCTATCTATCTATCTATCTATCTATCTATCTATCTATCTATCTATCTATCTATCTTTCTATCTTTCTATCTATCTATCTATCTATCTATCTATCTATCTATCTATCTATCTATCTATCTATCTATCTGTCTGTCTGTCTGTCTGTCTGTCTGTCTGTCTGTCTGTCCATTTGTCCTTCTATCTATCTATCTATCTATCTATCTATCTATCTATCTATCTATCTATCTATCTATCTATCTATCTATCTATCTATCTATCTATCTATCTATCTATCTATCTATCTATCTATCTGTCTGTCTGTCTGTCTGTCTGTCTGTCTGTCTGTCTGTCTAGTCGATCTCTCTATCTAAAATGATAATTTCTATAGATATGATCTTTTTCTTTCTTTCTCGGTTTCACTTCATCTGCATCGCTCTACACAAAAGAGAAATTTCGTGCAAGTTGAGGGGCAACAATGCTGTCTAAATTTGGCGACAAAAGATAAAGAGTCTCGGGACAAGTGGCCTGGCAAACACAGGGCTGTTGACTGAAGCGCGGGGACCTAATGACCCTCATGTCACCGGCCCACAGCAGCTACAAGGGAGAAGACAACAGAGTGAGGCCGTCTTGACTACCATAAGTGGACGTGCGCTGATAACACAAGGGGTACCTGAGAGCTCTTTGCTTACCAGAGAGATTACCGGCCCGCTGAGGCTCAAAGCTGGGGGATTTGTCAACTTAACCCCTGTCCCCGCTCTCTTTTTTCCCCCTTCAGCCGTGTTTTACGATGCTGGATGGACCCCTGCACTAAACACAGAGGTCTTTACAGCAGAATAAAACATGGTTAAGTGTAGCAGGGCTGGGGTCAAGGTTTCAATCGTGGACAAGAGGGCTTCAGGAGCTAATGAAACCGGCATCCTGCACTGCCAGACATGCTCAGTAATCTATCCAAGTCATGTACATGCCGTGAGACATGTTTATATCTGCTAAAATTATGTGGTGACTTTTTCTTCTATCTAACTGACTAGTTCAGACATATTAAACAATTTTTAAATAAATTACAACAATTTGGCATGTGTGTATATATATATATATCAACGCATTCTCACCCCAAGGCGTCACCTTTGACCATGCTTCAATATTTGACGTTTTAGGTGCCCTTTAGCGTCACTTACATGACGCGATCCTACGGCGTCATCTAACTGACGCTAAAGGAAAGCGTCTGTTAGAGGACGCGGTTAGGTTTAGGTGTGGGGTGGGGGTAGGGTACACGCGATCCTAGGGCGTCATCTAACTGACGCTAAAGGGCGCCTAAAGCGTCAGATATTGAAGCATGTCCAAATGCTTCCCAAGGCGTCAGTTAGGTGACGCCTTGGGAGTGAGAATGGGCTGTATATATATATATACTGTATATAAAGTGCTGTCAATTGATTAAATAATTCTATATTTAATAGCACCTAACTAAAAAGTTTTTAATATTTTTTTATATTAAAATAATATCTTATTTGACATACTGATGTAGAAACATAACATAAAGAGAGTAGCCTATTTTTGAAATATTTGTTTCATGGCATCTTTGTTATGGATGAAGGCCGGTATCACCGATACTAATACTGCCACTGATGCCTTTATCGTCTCAATTTGATCAATTCAGCAGTATAATTGAAAGCTATAAATTTGAACATTTATTAGAGTTGAAAAAATATAACAACTTTTAATTTAAGTGAATTTTAAACAATCTTTACATGAACCCAAATGGCACATTTATCTTTGCCCTTCAATATATCAGGGCTCATTTTTTTTTTCTTTTGTCCCCATCAGACCGGTTTATTTTATTTCTAACAAGTATAGAAATCAAATAAAGTTATCAAACACTTCACTTCACTGTATAAATTGTAAGTGAAAAAGTTATTCAGTCAAGAACACCGAGTGATTTTCTCTTTTTCTTTTGTTTTTTGACTATCCTTAATGACAGACAGCAGCAGGTTTGTTATGCTACTGTCACTTTAAGACCTGCAGTTTTAAGGATTAGCTGTTTTTATTGTCTCACAACCCTTTACATTAATTTAAAAACTTTATTTAACTTATTTAAGACTGTGCTTGCGAGGATAATTGACAAAACTGGCTCTATATTTTATTAGTCACATATGTGACTTTGGCATAGCACTGCCTTATATTTTGATGGCTGTACTATTAAAATCATTGTCCAAAATGATGTGGTTATATAATTCAGCGAAAACGACGTAGGACGCATGAATTTTTCGGATAAAAATCTGTGGCAGTATCACTGGACATACGTACATTTTTTGGCCAATTTTAACTTGCTTTCAGCGACCAATCAGTTCTGTTTAACCTGAAATCAGAGCGGAAATGTGCAAATTCGCAAGATAATGGTTTAATTAATCTATTGTAGTCCAAGGTTAAAATTTGACATGATTGCTATGAAAACTATTTCCTTTTGCCCTCCCACTTGTATTTCTGTCTTTCATTGTACATGACAACAAAGCTCGTCAACTGATGGGTCGTAACTTGATGCGCCGCTTCATCCCAACCCCTGTCGATAAGTAGCTCTCAAAATAACGTGCGTGATTACCTAAAAACCTTACGTGTGATATAATGTCGACATTCGAAGCGTAAAAGGCAATGAGCTGTTCTCACGCTTCCGCTTCAAACTCGTTGAAATGCACCTACATGGGGAGATGGTGGAAAAAAAAGCCAAAGGGCGTGGGATGTTGGGATTCAGTAGATATTTCCTGGCTGTGACAGTGCTAACGCTTTGTTTTGTGTAGTGTTAGATGAGTGAAACGAATGTGTGTGTGTCGTTTTGTTGA